TACACCAAGGACAAGCAGCCTCTCATTCCTTATCGGGTGGGGTTTGGAGTGTGTGTGGGTGGGGTGGGGTGTGGAGTGGGGCTGTGGACTGCAGCTGTGCATTAAGGCTCTGCAGTGAGGCTTTTGGAATCGATTGTCATACTCAAGTTTTTAATTGGCCTGGGGGGACTTCAATGTCCAAACATGACCTACCCTTTCTGGAGTTTGCCTTGAGCGTCACTGAGGGGAAGAGAAAGTGACTGATTGTGCAGTGAACGGTTCTCCTTTCCCTGAGAAAGTCCTGGCCACTTCTCTCCTCGCAGGGAGCTGGCCTCTGAGCCCCGGCCTGTCCTGCCTGCTAAGAGTGTCCTGGTTATCTGTGGACCTCGGGCCAGGCTGGATGGGCTGTGCTGTTAATCGGATCTGTGGTGGGCGTTCTGGGCCACATGGTGTCAGCTGTGCCTCTGGAGGGATCGGAGACCGAGCCACCGCACATGGTCGCCTGGCAGAGCCTGTGGGACTGAGCCCCAGCAGAGCCCTGAACCCCAAGGCAGGCCATCAGCTTGGGGAGAAGCAAGTGCCGCCAGGCTGCCCAGTGGGGAAACCAGCAGCCTGTGCCTGGGCCCTCCTGGACTCTGCCAGTTCCCTTCGCCGATTCTAGCCGGCACCCTTTGCTCTAATGAACAGCAAATGTGAGCACAGCAGGTTTGCAATGCTGTGTGAGCCTTCTAGAGAATCGCAGAGCCTAAGGGTGGTTTGGGGACACCAGAGCTGCAGGGGGTGAGGCAGTGATTGAAGAAAAATAGACCTCGTCTGATTTGTTTCCCTAGGGATTCAGGCTATTTAATGAGCCAAATAGTCATAAACCGTGTTTGGGGACTGTACGGATAATAGTCTTCCAGTGACTGGCAAACCTGCTGCCTGCAGTGCCGGGTGTGAAGCCTTGGTCCCTGGTCCCACCACAATGGACTCCAAGAGCTTCTTCCCCCGCCCGGCAAAGGGGCTGGGCTGCTGGGGGCTGAATGCCTGGCCAGTGGTAGGGACGGGTCTTACAGGCAGCACAGAACACACCTGAGAGGATCAAACCACGTGTGGTCTCAGCACCTGCCGATGGAGTCGGGGGTGAGAGAGAATAAGAACAACCGAAAAAATCAGGGAGCTGGGGACAGGGACCGGTGCCTACACCAAGGACAAGCAGCCTCTCATTCCTTATCTAGAAAGCACAGAGGAGGCGGGGCTCGGGGCCCAGCATCTGTGTATGTTACTTTTAGAAAAGTTTTACACTCAATTATCCATGTCAAGCTCAATATCATTCATTCTCTGAAAAGAAAACGAGCAACAGTTAGGCACCCCAGCCCATGGTCTGGACTTCCTCTCCCAGAGCAGTCCTCTGAGACCAGCCTAAGCTGGTGGGGGTTGAAAAAGCAGGTCCTGAAGACTTAGAAGTGTAGGGGTTGGGGGTGATTGAGTGGAGGGAGAGCTAGGCCCAGTCTTCGGGGAGCACGTGGTCCGACCGGCAAGGCACTGGGTACAACACTGGGTACAGCAAAGGGCTCCTTCCTCGTCCCACAGCCTGAGGAGAGGCACCTGGTGACTTTAAATGGGGAGGGGGTGCAGCCAGGGAGGGGCCCCGAGGGGAAACCCGACACTCTGTCCTTCAGGAACTTGCCCGAGAGGCTGACCTCTCTCCTGGGCTTAGCTGCTCTGCTGTCGGGCCCTGGACCGGATGCCCGTGCCCTGGTTTTCTGCCCACTGGACGCAGTTTCCCCTGACAGGAGAGCAGGGTATCAGGGCCTGCCCTCCAGGTATCCTCATCCCCTAGGAGGTGAATAAATGATGGAGGTGTCTCCTAAATTCACAGATGACTGTCCCAAGACATCGGGGCACATGGCAAAAACCCAAGTCAAACAGTTCGAGAGAATAAAGGTTCCATGGGACTGAAAGTCCAGGGGGCAGCTGGGGCTGGCCAGGGCCTCAAATGGTGTCCTCAGGAAGCTTCAGGCTCCATTTGACTCCAGGAATGGTCCCAGGAGGGCAGGAGTCCTGGGAAGGCATGGGGTTCAGACCCAGAGAGGGGCTTTGTAATCAAATGCATGCCTGTGGCTCCTCCAAGTTCCTGGGTTGGAATCCCAGCCCCCGCTCCTCCAAGCTCTTGTCTTGGGATCCCAACCCCCCGGGCAAAGGTGTGAGAAGTGGGGCCTTTGGGAGGGGATTTGGTGGTGAAGGTGGGGCTTCTTGCAAGAAGACACCCTCCGTGAACCGGGAAACAGGCCCTCGGCAGACCTTGAATCTTCCCTTGATCTTGGCCTTGCGGCTCCCAGACCGTGAGGAGGGATTTCTGTTGTTTAGGAACTCCAGCCAGCCTCTGGTGTTGTGTTGTCAGCACCCCGAGTGGATGGAGACAGGCTCCCTCTCTCTTGCTGCTGGGATGTCTCCCCAGGAGCTTCCGTCTCTCACCACCCTCACCTCCCAGCCAGAGGGAGGCCAGGAAGCCAGGGAGATGCTGCCTGAGCGGCAAGGGTGCCCTCTCTCCACACCCTCTGCCAGAACTTACTCTGTGGCGTGTCTAGCTGCAGGAAGTGGGAGATGGAGCCCTTAGCTGAGACTTGGGGTGAAAGGGAGGGGAATTCAGAGGCGGCCGATGGACCAGCCCTGGCTGTGACCGTGGCTCATGGGAGCCCAGACTTGCTGTGTGGACTGGGCTTGGTGTCCCCATGCTGTGCCCCTTGGTGTCCCACATAGGCCCATGCTGGCACCCTGTGAACCCTCTGCTCTCTCTGAGGGTCATGGAGGGAGTGTGCCACCCTCAGTGAGCCGGGCAGCTGCTCTCAGACCCTCTTGCCCCTGGGGTTCCTTTCCCCATGGCATGGCCTCACGTTGTTAAAGAAAGCGTCTCGAATGGGCCTTTGCAGCTCCAAGGCGAGAATGACAAAGGAGGAACCATTTCAAGGTTTTGCTTTTGGAAACTCCTAGGAAGCGACTACAAAATGGAAGACATTTTTCCTATTTCAATATTTCTAAGCATGGAGGACTCCTGACTGCGGATAAAGTCAGACACTTTGGATCTCTGGAGACGCAGAAGTCATGTTTGTGCAAACTCCATCCTTAGACCGAGGAGGAAGGAAGCCTGAAAGTCAGAGGGAAGAGATACCCGCGCCACGGCACCCAGTCCTGCCTTCCCCAGAGGGCAACCTGGCACAGCCATGTGGAAGGAAGGACGGGCATGACAAGACCCTCAGCGTCCTGCTCCAACTCCAACCCTGCCTCGCGCATCTCCTCACCTCCTCCTGGCGGGAGGCCGGACTGCTGAGCCTTCAAGAGAATGCAAGAGCTGCCTGTCCTTTCTCTCCTGACAATAAACGGAAGACTCATATTAGCCGAATGCAGCCCTTTTAGCTTTACATCGCCTAGTGTGCTCACAAGCACGCCTGGAAAGTTAACCACAAATTGGTGCATTTATAAGAGCCATAAGCCCGCAGCTTCTGGGTGAGAGCAGACAAAATGCTACTTCTGTTTTGCAGATGGAACAGATGGGCTGGCTTGGCCCTCTGCATCGCCTGTGTTGCCTGTGTGTTGTCTTTTTCCCAAAAGCAAATTGCAAAAAGAAAATGGCTTTCCGCTGGGGGCCCAGCAATCAGGAACCCTCCTTCTAGCAGGAGGCAGAGAGGAGAGTATAGGTAGGCCAGGGAGGGCATGAGGAGAAAAGGGAACGGGCTTAGGGGGCTGGGGGCTGCTATTCATCAGTTTTAAACCTGGTCCAGAGAAATTGGTGGGAACATCACAGGAAATTCTAAGGGACACTCTCTGTGTCCATCGGCCTGAGGTGCGTTCATAGCAAGCCCTTCCCAGGAATAATTTTTAGGAAACTGGGCTGCATTGAAATATGTCTTGGAAATGGATCTTCTTTCCTCAGAAGATAATCTACCTAATTCCCTGTTTCCTCCAAAACATCAGCTTTCTTTGTGTGTCTCTTGGCTGATTTCTTTAAACTTGCTGATGGGTTTCACAATCCAAGGTGACTCCAGGCTGTCTCTGCTTCACCCTTCCACGCGGTTCTGCTCAGCAGGCCTGGAAGGGCGCACGGTGAGATTGCTGGGTGGACAGGAGTCAAGGCTGTGCTGCTGTGAGGAGTCAAGTTAGAGCCGTGGCAACAAGTCCCCCCTGCTTCCTCTCCTCCCACCACCCCACTGCCTGCTGCCTCGGGCGGGACCCCAGAGCCACCAGCCCTGACCCGGGGCCCAGGTTGAATGTGCAGGGTCTTCCACCAGCTCCAGAAATAAAACTCCATGTCACAGGCACAGAGGTCCAGGAGCCACATCCCTAACCCCTCTGTCTTCTGACCTCAGGCTGCACACTGGCCCAAGCCCGTCCCGCCCGCCACCCTTCCTGCTCACACACCACATTCCAGGACTCGGTGAACGTGTCCTCCTTGGACAAGTCTTCCCAAACTGCCCCACCTCAGCCAGTTCCCCCAGACATCCGGTGCTCTCCCCGTGAATGTGCTTGCTGTAGCAGCCCCGCCGGTCAGCCAGCGCGGAGGCACTCAGTGGGCTGGGCAGGCAGGAGTCCCAAGAGCCCGCAAGGCCCCAGCAGGGACATCAGGGTGCAGGATGCTGGGGTGCAGGGTGCCGGGATGCAGGGCGTCAGTCCTTGCTCCTGTTCACAGTCCAGCAAGCTGGGGAGGGACATGGAACTTCATGGGCAAGGTTCCTCCCTAACTGTGCCTCCCCCGCTCCACACAGAGCCGCTCTCCGGGCCCCATCTCCTGGACACCCACCTCCAGGTGCGGAGCAGCTGCAGCCACCTGGACTGTGGCCTCTGCCTGCTCTGTCCTCATACCGGGTTGGCCTGTCCTGAGAGGCCCCCTCTGTCCTCACTCTCCGAAGCACAGCTTGAGACACCAGAGCTGGACAGGAGGGGAGTGGTCTCTGAGCCGTGTGGAGCTGGGCTCTCGTCCTGAGCGCCTTCTGCTTGGAGGTGAAGGCCAGGACGGGTGCAGCCAGGGTGGGCAAAGAGAGCCTGGGGGACCCTGGGCCCCTCGTGCTGTCTTGGAGGGGAGAGGTCTGGTGTACAGCAGGGACGGGGCCCCGGCGGCCTCTTCCCACCTCCCCAGCCCACTTTAGCCATCCTTCATTCACTCATCATTCAGCCAGGCTCTCTGGACGCGGCCAGTGTGGGATGCTCACAGCTGGCCTGCTGTGCTGTGAGGACAGCGCCGGGGCTCCCTGTGCGTCCAATGTGCCAGACCCTCTCAGGCTGCCGTCACTCTGGTTCTCCTGTCTCTCTCTTCCACATTTAAGGGCCTTTGTGACTCCTCTGGGCCCAGGACAACCCAGCACAGCCTCCCCATCTCGTGGTTGATGAGCTGCCTTAATCCGCCTGCCCCCTAATCCCCTTTGGCAGGTGCCCCAACATATTCACAGGTTCTGGAGAGTCTGGCATGAACATCCTTGGGATCCTTACTGTGCCCACCACGTGGGCAGCGCCATCTCATCCACACCCATGAACGTGAGGCACAGTTAACATCCCCATACTCCAGAGGAGGAAGCCGAAGCTCAGGGCCACCTAAGGTCGCTCACTCTGGAGGTGGCAGAGCCAAGACTTGAAGCCCCTGGGTCGGACTGCAGATCCCAAGCCCTCTGCCTGGTCGGGTGGAGCAGAGTCTCATTCACACTGAGAAACCAACCGCGAGCAGGAGGAGACGGTCCCTGGAGCTGCAGCCAGCGGAGACGGTCCCCGGAACTCCAGCCAGGGGAGAGGGTCCCTGGAGCTGCAGTCAGGAGATGCGGCTCTGTGCATCTGAGCAGAGAGAACACAAAGCATGGCAGGGCAGGCAGAGGATGCCCTCCTCCCTCCCTGCTGGGCACAGCCTTCTTTGCCAGGTGGAAGCCAGCCCTGGGGAGAGGAGACAGAGCCTCCTGCGGGGTCTCAGAGAAAGGACAGGAGATGAGCGTGGGAAGACCTGCTCCTGCCAGCAGGGACCCTCTGAGCCCCTGTGCCTGGTAGCCCAACACGCATGCAGGCATACGCACATGCGCGCACACACAGACCATGCGGACAGCAGGCGATTCACAGGAAGACTTGCAGGTGCTGACACCCAGGCGAGGGGAGAGGCTGAGCAGGTGAAGTGCCAGCTGTTCCCTCCAGGTGCTCACGATTCGCTCAACACACATCTCCCTGTCCTCTGGGTACCAGGCCTGCGCCAGATTCCCGCAGAGCCAGGTGGAGGGCAGATGGCTCTTGGGGGCATGAAAATTAAGGGAACTTGACCGCTTTTGCCCACTAGGTGTGAGCCCTTGAACCAAGGGCTCACCAGGAGGCTCTGGCCTCCAGGCAGACGGCAGAGACACACTTGTTGATATATGTCTGACGACTGTGTGAGTCAGACCATCCGGCTGAATCAGAGTCCGGAGGAAATACATGATTGAAAACTGGGCCCGTTGCAGAGCAGCCAGCTCTCCATGGAGCCATGTCAGGTTTGAATTGGAAGATTCTTGGCTTCCTAGCTGTGGCAGGTGAAGGAACCCTGGGTGATTTGGGATTTGGAGGGAGTGGGGAGACCTGGTCCCAGCAGGGGAGACCTGGGGTGGGGGGTCAACGGAGCAGGAGAGAGCATGGGAAGGGAGGGAGGCTGTAAGAGCAAACTCTCACAATACACAGCCAGGGTGACCCTCAGCCCCAACTGCTTGAGACTGAGAGGGCTCCAGCTCCCAGGTCTCTGGACTTGCTGCTTTAAAACCTCGAAAGTCCCAGGAAAACCAGAGTGAATTGTTTGTCCTACCCCGAGCCTCCCAGCCTGCTGGTGCCATCTTCCTCAGGCGACCTGCGGGCACTGTGGAACGGCCATCCCAGCTCACCTGAGGCCCAAAACAGGAATGCTGAGTGTCTATGACGCTGATGGGGACCTCACGTAACTCTGGTGGCCAATCACTCTCCATCCTCAGCCAAGCGCACAAGACAGCCACGGCAACGCCCCGAGCATGTCCCCACGCGGGCAAAGACGGAGTGTGTGACCCTACTCCGGGCCATCCTCCTCCCACCTAGCCTCTCCAGCTCTCTCCAGCTGCCCTGCAGCCACCGGGGTGGGCCCTGGCCTCTGTGTGGAATGAAGTGTGTGCACATCACAGGATGCTCACAGCAGCCTGGCGACCTAGAGGCCACGTTGTGCATTTCACACACAGGAAACTGGGGGTCCAGGCCCGGTGAAGCTGGGATTTGAAACCACCTCCTCTCCAGCCTGTCACCCCGACCTGCCCTCTGTATCCCTGGCCTTCCTGGGGCCCATCCCGTGCAGCAGCCGCTGTGCTTGTGGGCAGCCATGCCCGCTTCCTCTTCTGGTTCTTCCCTGAGAACACGGCTCACGTTTCCAGAAAGCTGGCCGAGGTCCAAGGGGCGGCCTGGGAATGTGAGGGACAAGGATGCCGATGACTGAGGATTGATCGGCCTGTAGCACAACCCCCAGAATCTGCCAACAGCCCCAGAGATGCCTGGAGCGCAGCCAGTGTGAGCCTGGAAGGAGGCTCCGCCCTCCTTGCGGGCCTGCGAACACTCGCTGCGCGTACACATGTGCAGGTGCCGCTCCGTTTTTAAAGATCCTCCTTGGAACACTGTACGTCCTGGAACATGTGCAATTCCCGTGCTGTGGGTGGGAAAATCTATAGCCAAGCTCTACCAATTATGTTTATTACTTATCTTCTGTGCCTCTAACACATTCACGTTTCTCCCCCACCCACCTTCATCCTCATAGGAAACCAACTACTGCTGCCACTGAAACAATAAATGCCTGTTGTTTTAAGCCACTGAGTGTGGGGGCATTTTGTTATGCTGCAATAGATAACTGATGTAGATGTTATTGTAAACTTAATTTTTTCAATTTAGTAAGAGGGCTTCCTGCTAGCAAGAGTCGCCCAACAGTGGTTGGGGGCCTGAGGGAAGAGAAGGATGGAGGCTGGAGAGATGGTGACACTCCTACATTCAGAAGCCTGAAGCCTGCTGTGAACCAGTGACGGGTTTTGCACATCCTGCTGGCATGGCCTCATCCTGTTCACCATCGCATCTGCTCCACTCGTGCAACACAAACCCACTGAGTGCCAACTACGTGCCGGGCAGCGTTGGAGGGACTCAGGGTAAGCTAGCCAATGAAACAAGCAGGGACCCCCACCCTTGGGAGCGTCTTCCAAAGACCTCTCATGTGGTGACTCTTTGGATGTGATTGTCACCCCAGGCATAGATGACTACCTTGCTTGGTAATAAGGACATGGCCTTGCTTACACCACTCAGGGAACCACAGAAAGCCAGACTGTCCCCAGCACACGGGCTGCCCCTGTTCAGCACTCCTGCTGCACCCTAGCATCCCAGCCGTGCCCGTGGACCTCGGTCCTTGCTGCCCTTGGGACCGGCCGGCTCCTCAACAGGCAGCATTGGGAATGTTGGGATCAGGGCAGCAGGTCTCCAAGGTTCTCCAGCTTGCAGGAGACACTCGCCCCCGGAGCCCTGCCCCCCACGAGGCTGTGCCCGGCTTCATGTGTCAGTGAAGGCATCTGGTGGCCAAGGGTGTGGCTGCATCACCAATGGGCATGACCGGACCCGGCCCGGCCCTTCCCAAGCTTCACCGGCACTTTCTTAGAGTCTCAGCTGTTTAGGAAGGGCTTCTGTCTGCAGAAATCAGGAGAGAAAGGGGCAAACAACGTGGAGTTAAAAGCTTCCGGCTGCAGAGCCATCCGGTTGGTGAGCACACAGGAGAACTCAGAGCAGGCGAGCGCCTTGGAGCAGCTGAGCGGCGTAGCTGCCAGGAGTCCCCACCGGGGGCCCGCCATCCGCCGTGTAGAGCAAGGCCTTCCAAGTGACATTTTCCTACGTGGTTTTAAGCAAATGCTCCATCACAATATTTGCACTAAGTTGCCTTTTATGATTTTTTAAGCTCCCAGGCTAACTCAAAGATAAACCTTTGAAAATAAGGGCAGCTTAGCCAAAAGGTCAGGGGTTTGAAAACCAAACAATGAGCTTTGGCAGAGAGAGAGCACAATCTGCTGCATCCTCCTACTTTGGCTGGCAGAGGGACAGACTCCAGTGGCCATTGCTGTGGCCTTCCTCTTTGTGGGGGTCTCGACAGAGGCACCTGACGGCCCAGCCCGTGGTCAGGCCCCAGTGTTACCAAGACAGTGGTGAGTGCCTGGACCTGACACTGTCCAGCACATGTACTCCCTGCGTGGCGTGGACACTAAGGTCCCCGCCCAAGCCCCTGTACTTATCTGGTGAATCGTGCCTTCCAGAGGACAAATCCGGCCTATTCCAGCCTACTCTAGTGATGGAACACCTCACCTCACACCCGACACTTAGCTGAGGGTATCCAGCCCCTCTTCAGCCTGACATCGACCTCGTTCATTCCCCGTGGAGACCCATCAGTAACAGCCCTGCCCTTCATTCAGCCACTATTCCCGTTTTACAGATGACTCAATCGAGGCACAGAGACGCTAAGGACACTCGTCCAAATGTGAAGTAGCAGGGCCAACGTTCAAACCCTATCTGCTGGCTTCTGAGTCCACTATCCTGGCTTCCAGCAAAGGGACTGCTGGCATTTCCTTTGATGCCAGGATTTCTAAGCTGTGATGTTTGTGAGCTGCAGCTCCCTGACAACAGTATCAGGCTTCGGTTGAACAGAGAAGCCCAAAGCAGGGCGAGAACGGATGAATAAGCATGGAGTCCCACTGCCAGCCATCAGCTCAGGAGCCTTGAATTCTCCTAGCTGGGTGGGCCCAGGAGGGGGTTCCTCAGCCTCCCACTTCCCTCAACACCCTGCAACGCCTGCCCCAGCCTGCCCAGGTTTCCTGCTCCCAGCACAACAGCTGCAGCCAGCAACGTCCACAAAGGCCAGGCTGGTTCCCCAGCCCTGCACACACGCAGCAGCAGCTCTACCCAACCTCTCCCAGGGGTTCTGGGGAGGAGGGAGCAGGGGAGGGGGCGGGGAGGGCCTAGAGAAGGGACAGTAGTGCCCTGGGGGTTCCTGGGCAACCCAGACATGCGGGGGACAAGCTTGTGCCTGGTCACCTATGCCAGTGCTACCAGGCGCTGCGGGGACAGGGAAAGGACAAGAATCTCGCTCTCACCTGGCTCCCGAGCCAGGGGCAGGGGCACCCTGTGAGGCGCTCCGAGGGAGGGAGTGTGCAAAGCCTGCAGGGCCTGTGAGGAGGCACTGACGCGTGCTGTGGGGCTGCCCCTCCCAAATCCTGCTGGGGTGTGGGCTCTCAGGGTGACTTCTGATGACAAATCCAGGCAGTAATAAGGGGCCCAGGGGATCACATCCCATAGCATCATGAGACCGGCCCAGGGTGCCAGGTGCAGGGCCCTGAGTGGGGAGGGTGCTGTTCTGGGCACCTGCTTTCCACCCTCCCTCATTAACCCCTCCCCAGACTTTGATGAAACCATCTGTGGCTCCTGGCCTCTGCAGGACCCAGCCCCTCAGCTCCTCAGCCTCTGCAGGACCCAGCCCCTCAGCTCCTCAGCCTCTGCAGGTGTCCCTCGGTACTGCCTCACGCCCCTGCCCCAGGTGATAACTATGCCCTGAGCCCCCACCATTCCCACTGGGCATATCCCAGAAATACGCATTCACAGACCAGGCACGCCCATGACTGCGGCTAGATTTTAAAAGGAATCACAAGAAATGTAATCTCTAGTGGTCCTGGAGCCCCCCCTGGGCACCCAGCTTCTGGCACCCTGTGGACACCCAGGAGTTGGGGGGGGGGCGGCCCAACCAGCTGCGCAGCCGCCCAGCCATGCCAGCGGGGAGCTTCCTCCCTCCCTGCCCTCCGGATACACCCTCACCCCCACTGAGCGAGCCCAGGGTTGGGGGAGGTGCACAGTTCCCTTACTAGCCGGAGCGAGAAATTGCGGAGAACAAGGAAAAGGGTGGCAGGAAGGGCCCGGTGCACGATACCCGCCGCACCCGCCCGGAATCCTGGTTCCCTGGAGCGCTCAACCCAGCCCGCCCTGCCCCGGGGAGCGCGAGGGGGCGACCCGCCAGGCTGCACCCGGGTGGGGCGGGGACGACAGCGGGGGCTGCCTCCCTCCTCCGCCGCCACCCCCAACTGCTGGGCGCGCCGCGCGGCCGCCGGCTTCGTGGAGACGCGCAGAGCCGGGAGGGCGCGGGCGCGGCGGGAAGTGTGCGGGGCTAGGGTGCGCGGAGAGTGCGAGGGAGGAGATTCGGAGCGAGGGAGGGGAGCGCGCCGGGGCAGCCGTGCGTGCATTCCTCCCGGCGCCACAAGCTCGCCCCGCGCAGCCCGAGCCAGGCTGGGCGCTGTCCTCGGGAGCCTGGGGAACCGCGCGATTTGGAGATCAGAGGCACCCGGAACCCGTGGCAACCGCTGAGCCCGGAGACAGCCCGAGGAACCGCGGAGTCTGGAGCCAGGAGCCCGGAGCTAGAAGTCCGGAGGAGCCCGGAGCTCGGGGCGGCGCGTCTGGGTCTGGCGCTTCCCGGCTGGACGGCGCGCCCGCTGGTCTTCGCCACGCGCCCTCCTCTGGGCTCCCGTTCATCGGTCCCCGACTGAGACGTGCCCACACCCGCCGGGACTTCCAGCCCCGGAGGCGCCGGACAGAGCCGCGGACCCCAGCGCCCACCATGCGCCTCAACAGCTCCACGCCGGGAACCCCGGGCACGCCGGCCGCCGACCCCTTCCAGCGGGCGCAGGCAGGACTGGAGGCGGGGCTGCTAGCCCCGGGCTTCAGCAACGCTTCGGGCAACGCGTCGGAGCGCGTCCTGGCGGCACCCAGCAGCGAGCT